CCCCCCCCCCCCAAAAAAAAAAAAAAAGCAACACAGCATTGACAAAAACATAAATATGAGATTAGTATCGGTTTCACCACAATAATTTTCAGGAATTCCAGTATCGAGTCGCATAGTAAAAAACAAGAAACATAAGTTCTTTGAGAATAATAAAAACCTCACAAACACATTCAGGGCTAGATGTGACAAAAACTAACCTTTATTAACTTTGCAGGAAGACAATAACCGGAATGCAGAATTGGCATCATCAAATTGTAGTGTTCTTGCAATCCATGAATAGACCACTCCTTTACAGTCGCTAAGTGTATCAATTTCATTCGGTACTCCAACTATGTTCTTACCACCAAGAGCCGTCTTGATCCCTGAAATCAGAAGTGCAGCCTCCGAAATTGCAGGCTGGCAAACAGGCCTACAACATTCTTTAAGAGAATCAACTGTGCTACAAGACTCCAACAACTTGCTTGTATTCACAATTTTTTCGAAAGTACCAATGTCCTTCACAGGGCAAGACCCACCAGTTAGATTTGATGACTTCACAGAGCACAGACCAGAAATGGAGCTGTTTGCTCCTTTACTAGCTAATATACTGATGATATCTCTAAAGCAATCATCAGCTACTGCACTTTGTAAAACTAAAGTATCAGAACGGTTGCTGTAAAATCCCTGGAATATGTGGAGTAAGCTATTGAACTGTGGACAGCATATTACATTTCCAACTACCATTGACAAAGATCGAGTACAATCAGATGCTGTTTTTTCTGTGATGCTTGAAATGACAGAGAAATTCACAGGGCATCTTCCAGTCAAGACAGGGTCATATGTCTTCGGAAAGGAAGGGTACATTGGCGGCAATGATTTCCCCGGGAAAGGATACTGAGGGATGACAGCAGGTGGTATCTCAATTGGTTCAAAGATTCCACTTCTGGGAGGGGTAGCTAGTTCAGACGTGGAAGAAGTTTGGGTTATCTTATGTGGCACATGTAGAGCCACTACATTCTGATAGCTAGTCAAACAGATAGCAATTACTAGCAGCTGATGGATAAATGAACCTGCAATCAGATGCAAGTCTTCATTCAGTGTATAGACTAGCAAAGGCCTGGATATGATACGCATGCACAGGCATAAGCATGAGTTGGGAATATCATGTTGCATCTGGAAGTGGTAATTCATGGAATTAATTTATGTAGATACTAGCTTTAACATTTGACATAATATTCAGCATTATAAAGATGTGTCGGTGATTCAAAGAAACCACAAGGCAAAATCAATAACTACACGGCAGCTTGCTCATCTTCATTTAGAAAACAACAACATAATCGCCACTACCTGGAAGGACTGAGGATATGCAACCAAAAATCTATACAACCTTCTCAACAACTGTCAGCTAAATTATGTCTGCTAGAATTAGTAAAAATAGTTTGGATGCCATTCTTTAGGGGACAAAACAGAAAACCACAAAAATATGAGTACATTTATAACAGATGCCACATAGGGAGTCCAAAATTTTCTTCACAGATCTCTAACAAATTAAAGTCTAGCATACAAGTCCAGTATTATACCCTTGAGACGAGTGGCGGTCTTTGCATAAGCCATCCGTCCACTAACCCTCTGGCAACATGGAGACACACAATCGGTACCTTTAAGCTGTTGATGCTACACCAGTTGAGCTGGTCACATGAATATTATGACGTACAGTACCTGAGACAGATTCAGTCACCGGGTTAATTAAGAGATTAAGGCAACACAATAAAATCCGAAATTGCCTTAGATACTGTGGTCTATATATCCATATCCATAAAATAAATAACTTTTTATCTTTACTTGTAAAAGAAAGAGGTATAACAATCTAATAGGAGCATAACATTCTTCATCTGTTAAGCGGGAAGTTCCAAATGCATCATTTTCTCTTTCTAGAAACATAAACAAACCAACGGTCTTAGATGTCTCTCCATATCATGAAAAAAGCAACCTTAATATGAGTGCTAGCAAACACTACAGCTAATAAGGTAGCAAAATAAGTGCAGGAACCTCACACAACTAAATAAATGCAGAATCTCATCACCCTGTCATAAATTGCACGCTCTAGATGCTATCAGAAAAAAGAAGGCTGAATGTTTTCAAATGCCTCAACATTGCTTTCACTGCAACCGCATAATGATTTACCAATTTGGAGAAGAAGTGGAGATTAGGTCCGCTCATTTCCCTAGACTATGTATAAGCTGAAATTTCTACCACAAAACTGAAACTTCATCACAGAACATATACACATAAAGGTGACAATCAGACTTTAGAATAATTCAACAACTCTTTCACTCCACCCTAGCTTTCCATCTTAACAGAACTATCCTAGTCCGTTCATGGATGACAGAGGTGTCTAGTTCATTTACTCGTGACTTGACATCCCATAATCAAGATGTTAGGTCATTAACTTATTAATGGACAAGAAAGAAGCTTTTTCACCTCAAACTTCTATCTTTTCTCTGTGACAACAAAAAGTAGAAAATATCTCTTATACTATAAATATCCAAGCAACACGTAATTCAACCCAATCTTGTCTTCCTCCTTTATTCCAACTAGCATTTCCTTCACTGGAAAAAAAGGGTCAACACCAGAGAAGGAGGAGGAAAACTAAGGCTACCTACATTCAAAGAAATAAACTAGGCATTAACGGAAAAATATTAATAAAAAAACACATTTTTTCCTTGATATAATTATCATACACTGACATTATAGATAACTTTTATACATCTAGACACTTAAACACCAGCTACAACAAACTCAATATTTATGTAACTTTAATTTTTATGAGGAACTCAAGTCTATAGAACTTAAGCCCATATAGTAAAATTTTGAGTCTTCCTAAGTTCTTCAAAACATTTTACCTTTTACCTTATTTACAAACTCAACAACCAAATAAGCAGCAAAAGCAAAATGCAGCTCAAAACCCGTAAGATCCGGAACGACCAAAAGCTTAGAAATACAAACTACAGACTTAATAAACATGAAGATAAGCAGAAATAATGGAATACCTGAAGTTAAAATTCCATAAAGACCAGAAATCCTCCCCATTATTTGTCATTAAACAATGTTTGCTTCCAAAATCTAATCCTAAAGACTAAATAAATCAACAAAATTGTTCTAATAAGTAGATGGATGTGCCTAATAAAAACCCTAGAACCAGAGGCAAAGGAAGAAGAAGAAGAAGAGTAGTAGTAGGTAGAGTTAACTTTCCTTTTTTTCTTTTTTTGAGATGAACCCAAACGGTTTCTAGTCTACACGCCTGACCGACTGACCGACTTTGATTACTCCAATTTTAGAGAAAATGACAAAAATGGTACCTTATGTTTGAGGTACATACAAATTAGCTCCTTAACTATGCATTAAATAGTTTTGGTCCTTTGAGTTTGTTAACTTTTTTAGTCTTAGATAAATATTTAACAATTATGATGTTTCCAATCCAATTTTATATTTTACTCTCTCAAAATGAATCTTCTTCTTTTTCTTCGATATTTTATTATTATATCTATTTTTATTTCTTTTTTTCCTTATTTCATAATATAAATCATTTCTTCTTCTTTTTCTAAATAATCTCCATGTAATATAAAATGTTTTTCTTTTCAAGTTCTCTATTTAATATAAATATAAATTTATATTTTATTCTAAATAACATAAATTGTAAGTAAATATTATATATAATAGGGAAAAGGGTTTGATATACCCCTTAATTTTGTCACTTAGAGTTGATACACTCCTTGTTATGTGTGGCTCATATATATCCTACGGTTATACAAATGACTCACATATACCCTTTTTATCTAACAGAAGTGAAAAAAATTAATTTAATTTTTTAATTATATTTTGAAAAATATTTAATCCATATGGGGTATAGCTGATCCTCTTCACACATTTTTTTTTTGACTTTTTTGTTTCAACGACTAATTTAAATTTATTATTTTGATGGTCAAACTTATTTTATGTTTCACTAATTTTCTTGTAAAATTTATTATAGATGATCCATTTTTTTTAATTTTTACAAATCCAAAAACTAAATTGCAATATAGCTACAAAAGAAAAATTAGTTTTAAATCTTTTCTTTACACTAAAGAATGAAAGAAAAAAGAATAAGAAACTCGAATAATGATAATCAAAGAAGTCAAAAAATAATTTTTATATGAAAAAGATTAAAATATACCTTGAACTTTGTTAGAATGATCATATATACCCCTACATGAATTTTTTTAAAAATTAAAAGTCAAAAAAATAAATATAAAAGTAATTTTTCCACTTCCGTTAGATGAAGGGTATATGTGAGCTCCTTTTGTAATGATAAGGGTATATGTGAGTCATTTGTATAACGGTAAGGATATATATGAGTCACTTTCATAACAAGGGTATATCATCTCTAAATGGCAAAGTTAAGGGGTATATCAGACTATTTTCCCTATGTTATACATATTAATGGACAATTGAAATAAAAGTGAAATCATTAATAAAATACAATTACATAATACTTAACTTTCAAGATTATTACGTTGCTCCCATAAATGTTATATTAATACATTACAAAGTTCAAAATAAGCATATTTTTCCTTAATTATTATGTTATATATTGTATTTTTAAATTAAAATTTCATCTTGTCATTTAAATTTTGTGCATTCTTTATAGTGAAAAATAATAATAATTTTAAATTATATCTTTAAAGTGACAAAAAAAAATTAAAAATAAAATATTTTTAATTCGGGATGAAAGTAGTAGATATTAAATAATATATTCTTTTAAATGTTATAATACATTTAAAAATAATTACGAATATTAGCGATTTAATTAATGGTCTTAAATAATTTATAATATTTTAATTACAAATAATATATAATATAAATAATAATAAAATAATCAAAAAGTGAAATAGAGAGTATGAATAGTAGTTCTCCAATATCTATATAAATGAATAATAGAGAGTAAAATAGAGGTGGATTAGAGATGGTCTTAATGTTCCTTAAAATTGATGGGAACAATGGAAAAATATCAACTATGAATGTCAAGAAAGTCCCATCTAAAAATACACAATAACAACATATCAATATAATCCTGCGAATAGGTTTTGGAAAGGGTGGGTTGTATGTAGTCTTATCTTTGTCTTGTAAAGATAAAAAGGTTATTTTCAGTAGACCTTCAACGCGTATATACTAATAACGAGGGAGTGGGTTGTCATATTCTCCCACACATAAACAAATGTTTATTATCAAACGAGTATAAAATCATAAATGAAGCCTCAAGCAAATAGGGGCATTTGTCCCACATGTTCATCTCGAATTCCTAAATAGCCTCATCGTATGGTTCATCCAAAATACTTTCACGAAAGTTATTTTCTTTTATTTTAGATTTCATATCTACCTCTAAAAATAACTAAGAGGACAATTTTGTAAGACAAGTTCATCATCTAGTTGTATAATGATCTGAAATGTCATTTTTGAAAAATTATCAATTTACTTATTTGATAGTTGCCCCTAGTCATGTTTGACAAATTTACGAGGTTGATTTTGTAATTTGATTGAAAAGTTGTGATCTTTGAAAGCTTTGAGTTTTGAAAGGGTTTAAGTGGTTAAAATTGATTTTTGGTAACAATTAAAGTTTCGAGTCTCGAAATGAAATTTCATCAATTTCATCAGTTTCAGAATATGGAATTTGGTCTAGTAGTGTTGTCGTTTTCCGTTTCAGAGTTGTTTCATGAATTTGAGCCATTGAGTTGAAAGTTTAAGTGATTTTAGACGATGAGTTGATTTTGATCAACATTTGGAGTTTCGATGTTCAAATCAAATATCTGATGATTCCATTGGTTTTGAGGGATTATTCTAGGAGTAGGAGAGGTCTCGGTTGAATTTTTTGAGGTTCTGAGGGTTATTTGGTATTTTTGAGTCTTAAGTTAGTTTATTGCAATTTTCACATATTTTTGGTTTCTGATGTTCTACCTTGAGTTGTTGGCAATTGGGGCACTTGGCCACAAAATCCACTATATCCCTTTTCATACCATTCCACCAATAGACTTCCCGCAGATCATGGTACATCTTAGTGGCGCCTGGATGAATAGAATATCTAGAGTTATGGGCTTCTGCAAGAATCTGTTGTCTCAACTCACCCACTGTAGGAACACATAATCGACCCTAATAGCGAAGTACACCATCTCCCCCAGGAGAAAACCTCAACTCTCTGCTGATGGATTGCATTATTTAGTTGAAGCAATATTGGATCACTGTCTTGATTTTCCTTCACCTCCACTGCCAAAGAAGATTCTGCCCCGTTATGAACTGCTACACCACCATCTTATATGCTCATAAGATGAACTCCTAGCAAGTTTGTGAACATCTTTCTCTAGTTCTGTTGATCTCTTGAGTCATACCTCTTGGTTTCTGATATTCTACCTTCACTTGCTGGCAATTAGGGCATTTAACCACAAAGTCTGCTATATCTCTTTTCATACCATTCCACCAATAGACTTCCCGCAGATCATGGTACATCTTAGTGGCGCCTGGATGAATAGAATATCTAGAGTTATGGGCTTCTGCAAGAATCTGTTGTCTCAACTCACCCACTGTAGGAACACATAATCGACCCTAATAGCGAAGTACACCATCTCCCCCAGGAGAAAACCTCAACTCTCTGCTGATGGATTGCATTATTTAGTTGAAGCAATATTGGATCACTGTCTTGATTTTCCTTCACCTCCACTGCCAAAGAAGATTCTGCCCCGTTATGAACTGCTACACCACCATCTTATATGCTCATAAGATGAACTCCTAGCAAGTTTGTGAACATCTTTCTCTAGTTCCTTTCTTTCTTCCTCAACATGTGTTACACTACCCATAGAGAGTCTGCTAAGAGCATCTGCTACTACATTGGCCTTATTAGGATGGTAATGCACACTCATATCATAATCCTTGAGGAAATCAAGCCATCTCCTCTGGCGAAGATTCAACTCTTTCTAGGTGAACATATACTGAAGGCTCTTATGGTCTGTGAACACTATACAAGTAATGTCTCCAAATCTTAAGTGGAAACACCACTGCTGCAAGCTCGAGGTCATGAGTTTGATAGTTCTTCTCATGCACCTTAAGTTGTCTAGAAGCATATGTTATAACCTTACCTCGATGCATCAACACACAACATAGGCCGACCCTGGATGCATCACAATAGATCACATAACCGTCTGAACTCTCTAGTAAGGTCAAAACAGGAGTTGTAGTCAACCTAGTTTTCAATTCTACAAAGTTTTTCTCACAATCATTTGACCACTGAAAATTGACTTTTTTCTTAGTCAACTTAGTCAATGGAGAGGCTATGGATGAAAACCCTTCCACGAACCTTTTGTAATAACCCGCTAGATCCAAGAAACTTCTGATATCGATTGGAGAGGTAGGTCTGGACCATAGTTTCATTGTTTCTATCTTTTGAGAATCAACTCAAATCCCTTCGCTAGACATAATATGCCCAAGGAAAGCAACTACTTACAACCAAAACTCACATTTGCTAAACTTAGCGAATAACTGGCGATCTTTGAGAGTTTGCAGAACAACCCTCAAATGATTCGCATATTCTTCCTCATTCCTAGAGTAAATGAGGATATCATCAATAAATATGACAACGAACAAGTCCAAATATTGCTTGAACACTCTATTCATCAAATCCATAAAGGTTGCAGGAGCATTGGTTAGTCCAAATGACATAACTACAAATTCATAATTACCATACCGGGTTCTGAAGGCTGTTTTCGGAATGTCACTATCTCTGACCTTGAGGTAATGATAACCCGATCTGAGGTCTATCTTTGAGAAATGACTAGCACCCTGAAGTTGGTCAAACAAGTCATCAATCCTGGGGATAGGGTACTTATTCTTGATTGTGACCTTGTTCAACTGTCTATAATCAATGCACATCCTGAGAGAACCATCTTTCTTCTTCAAGAACAGCACTGGTGCACCTCATGGGGAAATACTGGGTCTAATGAAACATTTATGTAAAAGGTCTTTCAACTGTTCTTTCAATTCCTTAAGCCCTGCTGGAGCCATTCTATAAAGAGGAATATAAATAGGTTGGGTATCTAAAAGGAGATCAATTCCAAAGTCAATTTCCCTTTCAGGAGGAACTCCGGGAAAATCTTCTGGAAACACTTCTAGGAACTCATTGACTACTGGAACTGACTCAAGAGTTGGGGTTTCAGAGCTTGAATCCTTAACCCGAACTAGATGATATAGATACCCCTTAGAAATCATCTTT